ATGCGAAAAAGCGCCACTTTCATCGCCGTGCATGGGCACCTCGGATTCAGCCTCCATCGGCACATAGTTCGTCCTTGATCTATACATAAACATGCGCAATCCACTCCGGGAGGTATGAAGAATACACATCGAACCGAACAGCTTCGGACGGTAACAATAATTTTCAAGCCTACAAAAGATAGCCTCCTTCATCGGCAGCAACCCATCTGCCATTAATTTCCACAACGTTTCCATAGCACGACAGACCTCGTCTAATATACGTCAATCTCCCCATTTCCCACGAAACAGCAATAGACTATACTATGGCCTCGTTTTCAAAGGAAGCAATCATTGCGATCGTGACTCTCCTCGTGGGATGTCCTGTTACCGTCCTTGCCGTCTGGTCTGCGATCAGGCGTAGAAGTCGCGACGGGGCGAACACAAATGAAGGTGGTAGGTGTTTCATCACTGCTATGTAGTCTACGCACATTGTTGACGTGACGAAAGCAGGTCAGGTCGAAGTCGGATATACGCCACCCCCGGTCATCATCAAGCATGTAGACCTACTCGTGTCACAGCCCGGTCTCTCCTACTTGCCTGATCGAGCCAGAAATCTTGATGTATAGTGCGCGGGATGTGGTGGAAGAGCTTCTCGTGTACTGATGGATATGGGTCGCTGACCTTACGTTTGGAGACTACGTGGGTGTATCGCAACACCAGCGCGGTTAGATGGTTAGGCCAGGAGACGACATGGTGGATGTATCGTTCCGCAAGCGGCGCGATACTCACTCATGCCAGCTACAGACGAAGGTGGAACTGTTGATAGAAACTCAGGATGTCATCGTATTCTCATACCGCAATCTCATGCCACCGTCTCACACTGCTACCTCGCTCTATACAACACCAGGAATAGCCACCGGTCCAACCGGCCCACTACTAGCCCCAATATTCGCTTGATGCATCGTCCTCGCACCCCATTGATCCGGGTAATCCACGGCAGTATGAAACATCTGGTAGTTGGCCCACATGATGATATCTCCTTCCTCTACTTTGGGCAACATGATGTATTCCGGTTTGAGTACGCGTTCCTGGATGGGCTTAAGCCACGCTCTTATCTCCGCAACATCATCGATGATAGTGGGTTCCTCGTCTTCGTTCGACCGAAAGAATGCGCGCCGAACGCAGATGCCGTGGACCATGAAAGCGCGCTCGCCTGTAACGGGGTTCACCCATACCATGGGGTAGCGCTTGATGTCTTTTTCGTCGTAGGGTCCAAGGTCTTCCACTGACTTCTCTTTACCTTGACTTACTAGGCCTAGACCGTGAGACTGGCCTTTGCAGTCACCCATCCATTGGTAAGGGTGGGGTGCGTACTCGACCCATGAGTGGTCGGCAATCCTCTTCTCTTGCTCTGTCATCATGTCGTATGTCTGTACGTTGCTGAAGAAGGCGGTCAGACCTGGTTCAGTCTTCATGGTCATGCCACTGCCGTCGTCCCAATGTATGGTCATTTCTGGAGATGTGGGTCGCTTGATGCAGCGGAGGGTGGTGAACCAGGCTGGGTCGCGGGCGTATAGCGGTGCGTCAATATGCCAGCGCTGAAAGCGCGTGTGGCCTTGCGCGTACTCCTCTTCTGGAAGCGGTTTGTCGTGCCATGCGTGTGCGAGTTCTTTCTTGATTGTTGCGTCTTTAAGACCGTAGTGGTCTGATCCCTGGTAACCTTTGCCGATCAGACGTACGTTCTCTGCACCGGGTATACCGACAACATCGCGTCCTCTCTGTAACCGGATTAGCGGGGCGTCCACTTGGTCAGAGGTGACTCTTACCGATAGTAGGCCACCCTGTTTGTGGAAGGTCTTGACATCGCCATGAGAATGCACATGTGGTGCTTTGGGATCGAAGCGTGTGACAAGCTCCCATTGCTTAATGGGCGCGAGGTTCTTCTGACCCTTGACAACAACAAGCTTGTGGGTCCAGATCGCGTCTGAGAGCGCTTTGACGTCGGAGTCTGTAACGCGACGTCAGCTAATCACAATACCATTGTCATGCCGCCAGCATACTTACCACTGATGTTGTCAAGATTGAGGTCATCGATCACCGCTCCAAAATTATGCTTCTCTTTGACAGTCTTCTCTATCTCCTTCACTGTGAAGGTGGGCTCAGGGGCCAGGATACCTGGTGCCATGATTCTTGGCCGATGTCGAGGAAAATGATGACCGGCGATCTTCCTTCTAGGCGGTGGCTTCTTGCGATGAGTTTTGAACAGAAGAAGCGAAAGTTCGAGTGGTGAGAACGCAAAGCCCGATGTCATAAGTGTCTACACTATCAGCCAGCCTCGATCTATAATCCCCACGCCACATATATGCTCAAAGTCGAGACCTTGCTCATCCACTCACTCTTACTCAACGGCCATCCCCGCATTCCCATCTAAGCACTCGGTCGTTATCAACGACCCTATCTCAGGCGCTCTATACTGTAGTAATGCATCTACCGAACGTGCGGGGAATGTTTCCCTGGGAGGCGCCCTTCGCTAAGATCCATGGACGTTATCTTATCAGCAGCCAAGGCCCGGCCGAGAGTCAGCTCATGGAAGCTGCTGCGCTCGGCCGACCTCGTAATCTGTGATCTGTGTGAGCGCGGTGGCTGAATAGGCGGGTCAGTCGAAAGCAGTGGGCGTAGGTTCGCATCCGACTACGATGTCGCGAGATAGCAATCGCTGACCGGGCGGCGCACTTTCAGTGCATGGCTGATAAGTGCAGTCATCGAAACGCGAGATGCGAGATGCGCGATGCGAGATGCAGTCAGCTGCTCTCGCGATCATTGCATGTGGTGTTCGCGTCATGTGAGATAGAGCCGAGCGCATTTGCGACGCGTCGAGCTCATTGCCGAGATCTCTGGTGTGAGAACGCGCTACAGCGGTTTCGCGTTGATTTGGTGGAACCGGCGGGACATGGTCGCAGAATCATAATGGCGCATGTTGTGCAGTAGAAGAAGCTGTGATGAGGTATGGAGGAGCGCTGTAGAAGCAAACCTCATTCGGAGGGCGCGGGTGTAATCACGTGATCGTAGCATGACTCGCCACGCGTCATCGATACCTGTCGCAAGCACACGCACACGACTGACATGCACAACCTTTCACGCGTCTTGTTTGATAATGCATTGCAGATACCTCATCACGGAGCTATACTCCGCGCACAAGCTGTGTCCCAACTCTACACACACTCCCCATGGCCCCTCACCCTGAAGGATGATCGCTCGCCGCAATGTTGCACTGATGCATCACACGCGGCCCATACGACTTTGGAAACTCGGTCTGCAGGCAAGACAGTGTTAGCCTATAGTGCATCACTGGATCTTCTCGCAGGAAGAGACTTACGATGCTGTGCCATAACGCGCGGTTGTACCACAGGATGACATCCTGCTCTTGATGCGGATGCGCATATATGTTCTCGGGTTGCAACGCCGGTCGCATGAGCCTGCTTGTAGTCAGCTTCCGAATAAGATACGATAACACGCTACTTACTTATCAAGAAACTTTCTGACCTCTCCCAAGTCTTCAACGACCGTCTCTGGCCCATCCGGGCTGCTCTTGAGATGCAGCTTCAACGCGCCTTGGCCATGCACCTGCAGCGACTTCTCACCAGTCTTCGGGTTCGTCCATACCATCGGGTACACACAAACTTTGCTCTTCTCCCATTTCGGCAGCTCGTCCAGCGGCTTCTCAAGCCCTTCGGTTTCGAGAGAGTGGCCGAGACGGGTACTGTGCGCTTTGGACATCCAGACGAAAGCATGTGGTGCGTACTCGATCTTGCTGTTCAGGACGATGTTGCGTGTCTCTTCATCAAGCAATGCCAGCGCACGACTACCAGCGACCATCGCCGTAGCTCCCGGCGCCATCTTCATCTGAGTCCCTGCTTCATCCTCCCATCGCACAGTCACATCTGGGCCCTTCGGGGTCCTGACGGCTAGCAGGCAGCCTACACGTGGTGGAGGAATGTCGTACAACGAGCCGTCGAAATGCCATTGGTAGAACCGCGAGGCACCGGCTTCGCGCTCTTCCGCTGGAATGTGCGGTGGAAGATGGAACTCTTCGTGATCGATGCCTTGGACTTCGAAGCCTGGCGGGAAGCCAAAGTGACCTTCCGGAACAGGCCCGCGTCCAAGGATATGGACCTGTGGCTGCACCGGGATTGCTGGACGCTTTGGAATGCCGTAGAAGTCGACGCCATTGTGGTGGGTGAGAAAAGGGTCGCGACCGTGAGCGAAACCACCGGTTGTTTCTTCGCGGTCGAAGCTGGTACTGAGTTAGATTAGGTGCGTATGTCGACGTCTAGCAACTTACTTGGCAGTGAGAAGATACTGCTGCTGCGGCTTCAGCATCTGCGGCTGCTCCTTGAACACCAACAGTTTCCACTTATGCAATGCATCAGAAACAAACCCAAAGTCCGCATCCGTAAAGTTGTTCAAATCGATGCCGTAGATCTCGGCGCCAAAGTCTACCTGGCTACCTTCCGCGTGCTTGATGGGCACGACGCGTCCGGTAGTCGTATCGGCATGTGGGAGATCGAGAATGGGCTTCTCTGCTTTGAGACGCAGACAGTTGGTCTCTTCGGTTATGACTGCTGTGACGACCATGGTGTTGAGTAGCTGAGTAGAACTCGAGTTTGATGGGCCTTTACAATTTACGTGTAAGGAGGCATGGGAATAGTCTGGAGATTATTGTTTACTATATGACCTATCAAGCCTAGCTCGAGTCCACATGCCTCACCTACCAGTCCGACAATGCTTCTATGGCGACATCCCGAGCTGTACATCTTGGTGTGGATGCGTTGATACCACCTCGGGTTCCTATCATCTCGGCCGAGTATCCACCTCCGCCACTTTCGGGTATAGCCGTACCCTCACGAGGCTGGCTATACCGGGTGCAGATATCATGCACACGTTAACATACACGCCAGGTTCGTCACAGGAGTAAAGACTTCGTTGCTCACGATCAAAGGCTCGAATCTCACGGTCTCACAATGATTGCTCGCACCCTCACATCCTCGTACTTCAAGACGACTTCGGGTACAAACACTCATTACCTACAAGCTGGCGATCCTTCAGGTCCGCTTCTGATATGTCTCCATGGGCTCGGAGGCTCTACCGAGACATTCTCGCCGCTGGTGCCATCTCTACCTTCCACGTACAACATCGTTCTTGTTGACTTTCCGGGCTTCGGAAAAACGCCACTAGCAGGCGTCAGGAAACCACTTTCCGTCGAGGGGCTCGTTGTCGACTTGGCCGACCTCATCGCATCTTTACGAGGAAGCTTGAATGGCTCGGCCTCGTCCAAGGTTGTCATCTTTGGACATTCCCTCGGCGCTATTGTCGCTTTGCACTATGCTGCGAAACATCCGCACTCTGTTGGAGGTCTCATGCTACTCGGTCCCGGTCGAGCGGCTGGTCACATCCCCGCTGTACGACAGCGCATGCTCGATCTTGCGGCCGCGGTGAGGAAGGAAGGCATCAAGTATGCAGCGGATATTGCAGCCAAGTCCAATTTCTATGACGATAGGTACGCATATGAGAAGCTCAGAAAGAAGTAGAGATCATGCTGACAAGATCTCTGCAGCCAAAACCGAACAGTGGATCCAGCAGCTCGAGAAGCCGTAAGGCTCGATGTGAGCTCTGCGGACCCAGAAGCCTATGCGCAAACATGTGAAGCTATCGTAGATAGTAGCCACAAAGACCCGCATTACCAAGCCATCACATGTTCTGTAGTCTTCGTGGCAGGAGATAAGGATATGATCAGCCCAGTGCAGCGGTCGCAAGATCTCAGTACATTGGTTGGGGGGAAAAGCTGGGTGCATGTTGTGGAAAGTGGTCATCAACCGATATTGGAGGATCTTTCTGGCGTTGAAAAAGCTGTGCAGCAACTAATGAAAGCCGTCATCGAATGAAACGTATAATTGCGCAACCCGACCACTCAAGTGATGCGCAACGTGGTTTTTATAATGTCTTGAGTGACGTTGCGCTAGGTACCGGCAGGTGGAAGGAATAACTGCGAGAAGTTACGCCAATGAGAAATCGTAATTTGCTAGATACAAAAGATCATCGAAGCTATTGGTACCTGCGAAGCCCGAGGCTGAGAAAGGAAATGCAGATTGCGGCTGTTCAAACGTGGTGGCGAGGCAATTGCTCTCTTCCGAGTAATGTGGAGGAGGTTGGTCAGTAGTAGATCCTGATGTGGCTGTAGGACGTGGCGAAGGGTAGCTGTCGCCATGGTTGGCCTGGTAGAAGTTCCTAACCAGGGCCGAGATGTCAATTTTGGAAGCGGGTGTACCGTCACGATTACGCTTTCTTCTTCTTTGAGACAAAGTCTCGTGCGACGCCTGAGCAAGCAAAGCTTTGAGAAGTCTGACGCCTCTAACCGCAATCATACTCTCTGGGCGCCGCTGCAGAATCTCTACGACCTCTTCAACAAGTGTTCGGTGCTCGAAACTTTCGTTCGCGTTGATCTCACGATGTAGTACGTCTAGCAACAGGGTGATGGATGCAGCAACCGCAAATGCTTGGTGAATCCACAAGGTGGGGCCATCTTCCCCGACCAAGGCCTTGTACTCCTTGACGATCGTTTTGGAGGCTGCGAGACATGTTCGGCGGGTGAACGCGAAAGCAGGATTGACGAAACTGTCCAGTAGAAAAGAACGATGAATCATGATGATCTTGTGACTCGACGTAATGGCTAGAGCGCGCCGCGCCCATGGTACCCACGTGGGCCAGCTCGGATCCAACGGTGCGTTCGTCATGAAAACTGGCCTTCCACGAGTGGCCAGTTCTCGAAGTCGCGCATCACAATGCAAGACCGTTTCGTAACATGTGTAAGGTGTATTGCATGATACGAGGCCGTCCTGAAGCTGGGGCATGATTATCGCGATGTTGCGCAAAAATAAAGAATAGCTTGTAGTAGTAGGAATGTCCGCGTCAACGGCGGTCAAATCGTTGTCGTGGCTGTTCAGCGGTGGGGTTGATGTCGAGTATCTTGGAACGACCAGGTAGCTTTCCGAGAACGGTATGCTGAACCAGTCCTGACTGCAAAGTTGACACCAAACTCTACGGCCAGTCTCATTTGCTACGACACCTCCACTGGCGTCTGGCCCTAAGCGATGGATGCCCAAAGATTGAGCAATGCGTACAGCCGTTGCGAGATGGATGCTTTGCTTTGTACTGAACCCTAGGAGATGGGCTGAAACGGTTGCCGTGGCTATAGCTTGGCAAGAAAGAATGCTCAAGTTACTCGTATAGTCCGCCCGGTTAAGGCAAGTGAAAATAGCTTGATACCATCGTCGCGAGAGCTTCTGTCGCTCGGCCATGTCAAATCCCCATGATTGCGCTCGCAGATCGGGTGCGCATACAAGACTAGCGGCCAGAATAGCCAACAATAGAGCTACCCATTGGAGATCCGTAGTTGGTTGTTCGATGAGCCCATTATCTCTATCGTAGAAATCTCGGAGTTGCGCCTGGAAAGTAGGAACGAAGTAGCTGCCATGGTACCACAACAGGCTTTCGTGGTGGTATTCTACCAACTGTCGAACTTGGTGAGGGCTTGGAAGAAGTAGTTGAAGCACCGAAAGCTGGGACAAGTCATCAAATATGGATGAACCAACTTCAATCGGAACATCATCTGCGGGTTCGAGGGACGCGACTGTGTGACAGTGAGGCTCTTTCCTTCTTCCCCAAGCGAGGAACTCCAGTACCGTCGCGGTATCTCGAGAAACAGCAGCGTCGTCGGGCTCATCTGCGGACTCATCGGGAAGCCTATCGTTTGGTGTTTCAGGTTGCAGAGTTCCGGGCGGAGTCGCAATGTTCGTCGGGCTTCGCTGGCATGTTTCGCTTTCGAGCTGTGCGACCCGCTGTCGCAAATAGTCGAGCTCACATGATCTTTGGTCGGAAGGACGCGTTGGAGAGCTTACATCGCCATGCAAATCGTCGATACCGCACGTATCTTTTTGACCTCGTCTGATGCAGTTGTCGCAGGGTACCGTCTTACTGCACTTGACTTTCCGCTTCGCACAAGCTGCGCACGTCAACCTGCTTCGCGGATGAGATGCCATGCCAAGTCGAGATTAAGCGGACAATCCGGCGCCATAGTCGAGAAGGATGAAGTTTCCAGTGATAAACACGGAGGTTGCGGAATGGTCGCTTGGAGATAGCCCTGGAGCGAACTGATAAGCGTCGGCACTAGCGCCGGCCGACCTTCGGCTCTCAACCTCCCTTTCCAGGTGGCGCACGCTTGCATATCATCCCAACACGTCTCATTGCAGCATGAACACCTCCCATCAACTGCAGCAACACGATAGCGACATGGGCAAGGAATACATACTTATCTATGATAGCGATGAGGTACGGTCCAATCACATCAAGATGAATGATAAGATCAGCCCAGACTACCCCATCTTTTACTCAGCGCGGTGCGACGTAAGCGTAGCTGTCCGTCTTTGACACTTGCCACGAGAAGCAGCACAGATATCCTGATTTCATAAGACGAGGACAGCTTGCTGCGTTTGTGCAAGATCGGACTCAGACGCAACTCCGCTGTACATTGTCGATCTCTCCGTTATCGCTATACGACTCTTAATGGGCCCAGAAGAAGATTGCTCGAAGCACATGGGCGCATAACAGAACAGAAGACCCTCACAATGCACCTTACGGGCAGTATCCGCAGTCGCAGCCATGCTGCAAAAGAGAAGATAAAGCTTCGGATGACGCAGCCATCGAGCTGGCAACTTCCCAAGCAAAATAGCAGCATCGCACCGCCCGATGTATGGACCAATGCCGATATGGAGCCAGTACCACCGGAAAAGCGGACTTGGGGTAAGAGCGCATTCGTAACGTACTGGTTCAGTGACCTTGTCACCATATCGACTTGGAGTTCAGGGTCTGCCATCTTCACACTTGGTAAGTGTTCGATCGTCGAAGTCATCTTGAGGACATGGTATTGATTGGAACAGGTCTGACGGCAACCGATGCCGTGCTCATAACGCTCGTGGCGGGTATATGCAACGCTTTACCCACGGTACTCAACGGCGCTATCGGCTCGAACCTACATATTCCGTTCCCCATCGCGTCTCGCGCCAGTTTTGGATACTGGTTTAGCTACTTTGCCATTGTGAGCAGAGGTGTCTTGGCTATGTTTTGGTTCGGAGTTCAAACAGCCAATGGAGGTACATGTGTGACCGCGGTATGTTATACTAAGAATGGCCTGATGGATGCGTCTCCTGACATTGGTCCCTAGATTTTGAACGCTATCTGGCCAAGTTTTCGCAATATTCCCAACCATCTACCTGCGTCGGTCGGTCTTACGACGGCCGGGATGATCTCATACTTCCTGTATTGGCTCATCCAATTCCCATTCCTTCTCATCCCGACGCACAGACTACAGTACATGTTCTGGGTGAAGACAGTACTGCTGCCACCCGTAGCCATCGGAATGACAGTTTGGGTTGCTGTCAAAGCAGGCGGTAATGGCTCTTTCTTTACACGTCCGGCCTCGGTGCATGGCGCTGAAAGGGCCTGGCTCTGGTTATCGAGCATGACTAGCATCACTGGTGGATACAGCACCCTCGCTGTCAACATTCCCGACTTCTCCCGCTTCAGCAAGGATCCTACAGCGCAATACTGGCAGATGCCGGTAATTCCTTTCTTCAAGACTATGGTCGCTCTTATGGGAATCGTTTCTGCATCCGCAGCCCAAGAGATCTGGGGCACAGCCTATTGGACGCCACTACAAATCATCGATACCTGGGATACGCCTGGTGGCCGGGCAGCAGCTTTCTTCTGCGCTTCCATCTGGTTGCTTGGGCAGCTTAGCGTCAACATTAGTGCGAATGCCGTCTCTTTTGCCAATGACGTCACGACGCTAGCGCCAAAGTACGTCAACGTACGTCGCGGCTCCATTCTCGTCGCATTTGTCGGCGGCTGGGCGCTATGTCCTTGGATCATCGTGGCGTCTGGCAAGGCGTTCCTCAACTTCATGAGCGCATATGCCATCTTCATGGCGCCCATGGCAGGCATCCTCTTCACGGACTACTGGCTGGTGAAGCACAGGAAGTACGACGTCCCCGCTTTGTACGACCCAAGAGGCATCTACCGATACGGTCGCTACGGTACAAACTGGCGAGCTGTTGTCGCAACGTTCGTTACCATCATCCCTCTGTTGCCAGGCCTGGCCAACAAAGTCAATCCGGAGTTGAAGCTCTCGGCCGGTCTCCAGAACCTCTTCACGTTTAACTGGCTGTATGGGTTTTTCCTGTCCATCTTCTTGTACTACTTCTGCAATCTGTTCTTTCCTGCTCAAGAAACCCTCATTCCGCGCATCGTTACGGGGTTTGGGTATCTGGATGGAATCGAGGTTGACAGTGAGGCTGAGAGCTTGTCGCACGGTGGCGAGGCTAAAGCTATGCCTGAGGCTAGAGTGTCTCCTCGGTCTTCCAGCCAGGCTCATGACATCAGTAACTAGAGTACTCGAGCGGAATTACATGTTGAGATACAGAGGGAAATAGGTAGCATTATCTAGATATCATAGCCCATTACATGCAAACGCAGGATAAACGCCCAGTCAGTGACACCACCTACACACTAGAACATACTTGAAAGCCTGAACAAGGTGAACAGCAGCCGCGTAGGATCAAAACCCGAAGTCTTCCAGTTTCTTCCCATCCTCTAGTCCCAAGGTCCAGAGATCCACGTCGATTACTTCACCACCCCACCGAATACCACGTACCTTCCTGACCCCATGGTTTTGGAATCCAAGTCTGCGGAAGAGCCTCTTCGCCTCTTCATTCGTATCGTCGGTCAAGCCCGCAATCTCCTTCGCACCTTTCTCCTCGCGAAAGTACTTGATCAAGCCCTGGGCAGCTTCCGTCGCATATCCTGCAGAGATAGAGGTACGAAGTCAGTATATGTCTCACATGCATTTCGTACAGCTAGGACTTACCCTTCCCATGATACCGCTCCATCATGTTGAAGCCGACATCCGGCATGGTGGGTGCTTGCTCGTCTGCAACACGTCCTAGTTGCATGCTCACAATCCCAATGCGCTCTAATTTCCTCTGTGAAAATGGAACTCCGGTCTCCTCGTCACCTGCAGGCGATTCTGGTTTCAAGCTGATGATGTACCGCCCATATCCACTCGCACGAAGCTTCTCATCTCCAGAAGCGGCGATCTTTCGTACTGCTTCCAGATCTGGTACGTCTTTGATCACGCCAGGGTACCGTCGAACAGATGGAGCGCCGTGATAGAGTGCAAGGGTAAAGTCGCACTGTTCGTCAGAGGAGGGATCGAGATAAGAGAGGTAGAGACGTGGAGTCGAGATGTGGAAGTCGTAGGGTGACATCTTGAGGCTAAGAGCTGGCAAATCGACGTTTGGTAGTTGTATTCAAGCATCTACGCTCCCAAGCTTTATTATAAGCATTTCTTCGATGCGTCGACGGAATGCTAACACCGGCCTGGACTCGGATGAGTCACCTAGGCTGACCATCCAGGCAACCAGAATGCTGAGCGCTAGGTAGTATAAGGCAGCTCGTATGTCGTGTTGCTCGCATTCTGCGTCTTCTCTTCCAGATGGAGCGGTCTTCTACATGAACCCCGGGCGACTCTACTCCGGGCTCGCTGTCATTCGATCTCAAGTCCGGGAACTTTGTTCCGAGTATGCGCGCTCCTGGTCTTTCGACATTGCGACAGAGTCGGACATGTCTGAGGAGTCAGATTCTTATCGCAGGCATGAGTCAAGATATTGATGCCAGCGCGATAGCCTTTCATCGTGTCCCAGACGAGACTCAAAGAGACGCAAGAGTGACGTTACGAGAGGGTAGCAAAGCCACTAGGCTTAAAGCGGCAAGGTGTGAGATGATAGTGGGGAACCCCCGCCTTCCGATGAACTCTTCTTTTGATGGCTCGACACCTGGCTTCTTCAGATCTCCCAACGTCAAAAACCTAGAAACGACATCATGGCGCCACTTTCAGGATCCGCCAAGAAGAAGAAGCAGAAGGAGAAGGAGAGAGAAGTCCAAAGGCTCAAGGTCATTGAGGAGCGCCAAGCGGGGTCGGACACCAGCCCGGACGATGAGATTCCCGCTACCCAAGCCTACGGACCCTGGGACGAGCCAAAGGAGAAGTGGGATGCGCGTCTGATGGCTCAGCCCCCGAGCGACGCTTCGTGGGATGCTTTTGAGAAGCGTGCAAAGGCGAGGAAGGGGAAGGCTATCGAGTACCAGCCCGCTGCCGTCCCAGATGAGCAGACTATGCACGTAGATGCATCAACCAAGTTTGATAGCACTGCGAAACCCGTTCAAAAGATCGTCTTTGCTTCTGGCATCAATGTGGACGAGTATGTTCAACTTTGTCCAGATTCGTGTTAATTTATGCTGATAGTATTCAGCACCATCGTCGACGTCATTGCCAATGCAGATGCTACTTTCCGAAGCGCAGTCCGCGTCTTCATCGCCGGAGACGTCGAGAGGAAGGAGGCCATTGAACTTACCAGCGCCGGTGTAGAGAAGTTGACCAAAGCTTTGCCTCAACTAGAGATTATCGCTCTTCACGGTACATCGAAGCTCACGCGTACCGCATTCCCAACTATCCTCAAGAACTGCGCAAATATCGAATCCGTCACTCTCACCGTCGTCCAAGGCCAAAAGTCAAAGCGCATCCGTCTCAATAGCACACTCGACTGGTTGACAGATAAGACTTTCGTCCCGAAGTTGCGGTACCTCGAGTTCCGTGGCGTCTACCATGAAGCGTTCCGTCGCGAGTTCCTTGAGTTCCTCACAAAGTGCAGGCCTGCGCTGGAGATCGTGTTCGAATATGACAGGCCCGCTGTCCTGATCCGGGATATGGAGACTATCCCACTGGACCGCGTTCCTGCTGCCGGTAAATGAAGCACGATCAATTGAGCGAGATCTGTGCGGCTCTGAGCGGAATAGCCACCGCAGACCCAATAGGAAGACCATGGGATAAGCCCGGAGACATCGGTTCGCAAAAGATGCGGTACTCACTACAGCTTATGAAGCGATCAAAAAGCCACGTGCAGTCGATCGAAGATCATTACTGATCTGTCGATGACGAAGCAATAAATACAATGAATGAGAAAAGCGGCTAGTCTTAGCTGAAACAATTCAACGCTACAAGAGCTGCGGATCCGATGCACGATACTACGTATGATGTTAACTCCGCCACGAAGCGTGCGCAATACCTTTGTCATCCCGCTTGGGAAGCGGGAGTGACGAGAAGATCACGATTCTCAGTGGCAGTAGCCAGAGCGTTTTGCAAGCCGAGGTCTCACCAGTCCCAATGAACGATCTGTGAAGTCATCGCGAAGTCCACATGCTTGCACCCAAAATTTCATCAACAACTTCGTACGCCTGGTGTATTCTCATTATGCTTTACAACTAAGACATGGCACCTTTCTTACGTCCGATCTATCAAACTCCGACCGCGAGAGCGAGTGCGACGGGGAAGTGGACCCGGCCGCTGTCTTGATGGCACTTGTGCATCAGCCCAGGCGCTAAAGGGAGCTAACGCGGACTTTATGCACGCTGCTGACACTCTCAAAACAGAATCGCGCCAGAGTGAGCCTCACTACTTCCTTAACACCTTCAACAGTGTTGGGGCTATGCTGCTTCTCGAAGCGGGGCTCGAATACATAGGTCCGATTCGCGAGCTGTCATCGATCTGCATATATGCTCGCACCCGCTCGGAGGATGACATTCCCATACACAATTTCCCCCTGCCGACATGTCAGCAACTCCGATGCCATCTGGGTTTGACTGTGCAGATGCTCCCATTGAGTTAGCCTGGTCGTCTCAGCGACCCGAGCTCCGCGATGAGACGGAAGATTGGATGGGTGTGACCAATCCAGTGGAGAGGCGAAAACTACAGAACCGCTTGAACCAGAGAGCACGGAGTAAGTTGTCCTGCAGATCGACCGGCCAAAAGGAATAAAGTCGGTTCTGACATGTTATTAGGAAACCGTGCACAAAAGAAAAGTGCCCCAGCCAAACAGCCCCGCCGTGTTGTCATACCAGACGAGGCCAACGAGAGCGACGCGTCGGGTCGTGAAGGCAGTTGCAGCACATCCGACCTATCTCTGAACGACCTTAGCGAACCCGATGCCGCAATAGCGCAAAGGTCATGCATGGCCGCCCACCCCAAGGTGCAGGAGCTCATGCGCCGCTTTTCCGAACACGCATACGCCAGCTACATGCAAGGCACACCCGCATTGTCCCACTTACCGCTGCTACTCAAATACAACGTCGCCAGCGGTCTCGCACGGAATGCCGATATCCTGGGAGTTACTGCGCAGTACTACGATTGGTATGGCATCTCACCACTCAATAAACAAGGCCCGCTCCTAGGTTCCGACGCAGGGGCTGAATGGCCAGCATGTCTCCAACCCACCGAACTACAAAGCTCAATAGAGCATCATCCGTGGCTCGATCTGTTCCCGTGGCCAAAAGTACGAGACAACATGCTGCAAGCTTTCCAACGAACAGAACCTATCGACTACGAAGACGCGCTATGCCATGATATCTGCGAGTACAACCATCTAGACCGTAATCTCATACTGATAGTTTGGGGTCCGCCAGAAGACCATCGCAGTTGGGAGATCGATCCGGCGTTCCTCGAGAAGTGGGGCTGGCTGTTGAGTGGATGTCCGGAGGTGTACGAAACGACAAATTATTGGCGTGCGACACGAGGCGAGAAGCTGTTTACGCCACAGCAGTGGCACAACACCATACAAAGCAGTTTGCCAAAGGAGCTGCACTACAGCGTTCATGACTGAGGCATCAGCAGAACGCGCTGGTGAATCTGGATCCGGCATACACCATAGTTGCGGATCGAAGAAGCGAGAAGGGTACAAGACATGATTGCGCAGCATAGAATAATCCGTGATTGCACGTACATGGCTAATGGCAACTATCATGAACATTGTTCGCACGACCGCGCAAGTCAAAGACCACGTCGGACGGCATCGCGAGAACGAGTCGTTGCAAAGCAACACCACGAGAACGAGTGCCAGAATCATACCTTCCTCCATGTGGGCTACTCTCAGCAAGCTCGGAACAGACGTTATGAAGTCGGCGAACATACACTGGCGGGATGCCAGCGGAGATGGGTTAGCAGCATAGCATGAGGTTGAGAGCGCCGGATCAGACGATGTATCAGACGGCGGCTTGGAACTATGCGCCATTTAGGCGAGTGGGGAATGCGCTGAAGTCATGAGTGGGAGACGCATAGTGCTTGCGAAAAGATTGGGGTTGGGGCTGATAAACGAGTGTATTTGGCTGTTATGCAGCTTTCTATCTAGCAATAATGAACAATATGATCTTGGACCGTTGATATGGCGACATATCAATGGTTGTTGTAGCGATGAATTGCCATCCAACGCTGGGTGTATTCCTCACCTATATACCCTCTTTCAGTGACTGGTCATGACGCCATTGCCTAGATGTAGAACATGGTGTCCTTGAGCTTGGGATGGATCTGTACATCCGACGCGCTCGGGTCCAGCGACGCACCCCCAGCTGCCGAAGAGTCAGCGACGGAATTCCCGGCGCTCGGCGTCGGTGTGTCGAACAGGTTCGCCAAGTAGCAACGAGCCCGCTCACAGGCCAGATCGGCGTAGTATGCTGGTGGGCACAGACTGACAGCCTTCGTCGCACGACCGAACAGATAACACATGTTGTGGGTGAGGTCTTCCACGATGTCAGCAATGTTGCCAAACTGTGGCGGGACCACTTTCGCGTAGATCTGGCGGAAGATCTCGTCGTGAACGATATAGTAATGGCAAGGACGCGCTGTTCCTTGGAGTGCGGCGTGTGCTTGAAGGAAGAAGTCCCAGTTGCGGGCCTCCGTCACGCCCCGATCGACGACGGTGCCAGGCTTCGTGTTGCCGGAGCTCTTTTCCCCAACACCATCGCAGTCTTTGTCCGATGTTGGGTAGAAGCGTGTCTTGTGTCGCTTACCACAGATGACAACCGTGAAGCGTGGAAGACCCTTCTTGGTATCAGGCGCGGGGTACAGTGCCTCGCATGCCTTTCGCAGCTGGGGAAGCTCCTGTGACAGCACCATGTCGTACTGTCCTTCTGATACTCCGTCGCGGTAGATGAGGATATTCTCGGGAAATGTGGGGTGCTTGCCCTTGGTCTTCCAGAGGTTGAGACGCGACTTCAACATTTCAGAGAGATCATCGACGTTTTCCTGCCTTCCGCGCTGAATGCGTAGCGTCGCAGGCCATTGTCCAAGGTATTTGTCGATAGAAGCGACCATCGCCGATACAGAAGGAGCGTTAGAAGCCGAGCCTGGAGAAGGGTGGGTCACATCAATACCGACCACCATCGTCTTGTTCTGATCGATGATGCCAAGGCTCTTGTTTTCGACGATCTGATTGATGCCACCGAGCTTCAAATTAAACTTCAGTGCGATGTTCGCAATGTACTGATCTCGGCCGCGCTCCTTCCAGAGCTTGGAGCCAACAGAACAGATCGTGTGAAGGCCATAGTCTCTATCGGCGAGTGTCTTGATGCGCTTGTATAGGGGGATGTTTGCCTCTGGTAGCACAATGAATAGGAGGTTCAAAGCACCAGCCGCTCTCTGTAGATACGGGCCGAGGGTGGGATCGTCTGGATGCTGTAGTTGAAGACGTTGTGGGGGAAGGGGTGGCTGGGCGTTGACACCAATCTTGAGCAAGCCTTGGTAGAACTCCTGCATCACAGCACCGAGAGCTTGGCCATCGAAAGAGTCGCGTTTACCTGGCATAGATATCATGACTGTGGACCATTTCGGTAGGGACGCGCCAGTATTGAACTTGATGTTCATCATATTCCAACGGCCAAATTTCTGGTCGACAGGAGCAGTCTTGTCACCTTTGTAGATGACCCTTGGGCAGGTGAGAACTCGACCAGGTACTTTAATCAGACCCGGTGTGATGGTAAGACCAAAAGAGCGCTTGTAATTGTCAGCGAAAGGACTTCAAGCGCAAGTGGGAACTTACCAGTAAAACATTGGTGTCCTCGTCCAGACCGACGGTCGATACACCCTCATTGAGGATGGACCTCGCGTTCTCCCACGGCTTGCGTACAGCATACTGAATCATAGTCTGTGTTTGGCCACCATCAAGCTTGGCTTTGGATGGCTGGCCCGGAACAACGACGCAGACCTCCGCAGGAAGGTACATGGGGTTTTCTCGGTTGCCGCAGTTGACGACGGGCAGCTCGGGGTGCTGGAGGACACGATTGTATGCTACATGACGTTAGTACCGGGATGCCATGGAGGGAGAGGGTGACATACTCGTCTTGAAGAAATCGAATACAGTAATGTATTTTCCCGATCCAGCAGGCGCTGGGCCCTTGGGCTGGGGCTTTCCTTTGCCCTTGCCCTTTGCAGCACCCGCCTCCGCCTTGGGTGCGCCGGAGGAGCCTGCGTCAGCATCGAGCCAGAACTCAACATCCTTGGCGCCTGCACCGTGGCCTTTGATGCGTGGCCTGTTCGCCAGCTTATGCCCGTCGTCCTTCCTGGCAAGCCCAAAAATAGTCTTGATGCGAGGAATGACCTGCTTGGCTTTGTTCCGCTTCTCAGCCAAATGCGTGGTCTGGACGCGGACCAGCTTGAGGAATTTCTCCAAGGCGATGGTGTTCCGTGTACCGTAGCTGTGCATAAGGCCCGGGAGAGGACCAGAGTGGTAGAAGGCTCCATGACTGACGTTGATATTGACCAAGATGCGGCAAGTTGCAATGCGCACGCTGGAGAAGAAGCCGCGGATGACTTCGAGGCCTGAGCCAAGATCACCCCTTGTCGCATTCTGATTCAGGGAGAAGCTCTTCGATGAGCCTATCGTGGCGAGGTTATTCGCGGATTTGACGTAGTGGTTCAGGAAGATATTGAGCGCCTGCGTCAATTCTTGCTTGTCGCCCAACGACTGGCTGAGGTTGGTGGAATTCATCCAGTCGACCAGCTCACCGATGCTATACGTTCGGATATACTTGACCTTGATCTTGTATACCGTGCCGTTGTCTGCTGGTTCGTCTTCACCTTCGCTGCGGTACTGAATCTCAATGATGTCTTCGTCATGCTTGAACTTCGTCTTGGAGACAAGTGTTTGACGGAAATCAGTCGCGACGTCGCCTTTGAGAGGAGCCATCTCCGATGACTGAAGCAAGAGCTCCATTACCCGGTGACGTTTCCTTCCAGCGGCTTCTGGTTGGACGTCAACATCGTAGCGATACAACACCATATTGGAAGGTGGAAGCAGCTCAACATAGTTCGCTGTGAGCTCTACCTTGACACCTTTGGTGCCGTATCCGGGTCTCGTTGGATTTCCTTCTGATAGCGTCAGGGCGCTGAGATCGAGGCCTTTCTTTCCGGCCGGATGCAAAGTATCTTCAACTTTTGCGACCTTTGGGTCTAGCGGATGAGAGTTGCTGTACCAATGTTAATTCTGGACGAACAAAATGTCGGTAAACATCTTACGGGAAGATCTGGATGCCTTGCTGGCCACCGCGGGGCGGTCCACCATACCCTCCTCTGCCGCCACCACGGCCTCCGCCTCTATCACCCCGAAACCCACCGCCTCGATCCCCTCGGAAGCCGCCACCTCCATAGTCGCCTCTCCCTCCTCCTCCACGTCCGCCTCCGCGGTCTCCACGAAATCCTCCTCTTCCTCTGTCACCGCCTCGAGGTGCGCCTGACATAGTTGAATGGCTGAGTGAGGCTTTCGGACTGAAGAATTGGCGCGACGTGCGACGAGCTCAGCGATCTGTCTGACACGCTGCCCTTGTGGACTAGATGCTCTGGGATAAGGTTTTGTAGAGCAACCTTCGTATGAAACAGCAACACTGTTCCGATGGGAATGCTCGCAAGACCCCAAAGGCTGAGAGATGACGAGAAAGCGAGGAGGCGAGGCATTGGCAGCAAACACGCTACTTAAGTGGGGCAAGCTACGCGCCGACCCACACCCCGCCCCGCGTCGTCTCATTCCACGTCGAACGCCAGCGCCCGACTTTCATTCCTTTCACTTCGCCAGCTGCCTGACTGCATACTCACCGGTTTGTTACGCTGCAGAGACCTTGCAGATGCCTATCAAGTATGCTGGTGCCTGTTCTTCCCCACGCCTGTAAGGTGTGCCAATCCAAGCTGCTCCTCTACCTCCACGGCTACAACCGCTGTCCAGAAAAGGGCTCATGGGAGCGCATTACCGAACACGAATCTTCGACCGGCAACGAGTATGGATACTGGTTCAATCTTTATTATAATGAAGCCGTCGCATTGGCAAAGGGTGGCTGCGAATTGATGATGTGGCTTCTCACCCTTAGCCGGCGTGGAACCACAGCGAACAGTCAATTGCGCGCATACTTCACGCATAACTCCGAGGAACAGCTTGTGCTAGACTGGGTCAATGATATCAATCAATATACGGACGGTAAAGACTTTGCTCGCAAGCTAGTGCTGTGCGTCGAGGATGAGTACGTCCTCCGTAGAACACGGCTTCTTTGCTAGATCAGTGCACTAATGATGCATGTGGCTCAGTAACGTAGCCGCTGCGGACATCAAACCCAGGCTGCCAAATCTGAATCCCGCATCCGCCGAAACCATGTCGACGGCTCGCACGTGGCTGCAGACGTGCACCGCCACGCATCACGCGTGTGGCAGTAAATCCCGGCGCACAACGACAGGCTCTGGTATCTTGAAACCTCGCCGTCTCATCAAGATCTTTAAAAGGCCTAAGGGCTCAGCCACGGATCCAGAGCTATGCCTGGTGGAGACAACAAACATCGAACGGCCGAA